TACTGGCTATATGGCGCAGGTGGTAGTAGTAGTAGCAGTAGCAGTGAGGGGGATTAACTTCAGACTTCCGGTGATATTCAAATGGAGATGATAAGACTTCTGAATTTTGATATTCCAAGGCCACAGTGTAATCCATGTTATTCATTGGAAAAAGACACTTTTAACGCATTTTCCTCCCTTACGATACGGCATTTACGTTTTAAAATCTAATGTTTTCGAAAATTTGCCCTAGATCGAGCAGGATTATCTGAGTGCTATTATATTCCTTGAATATTTTTGTACAAAATTATGAGGTGCTATGTACATAAAGAATTGTATTTATTACAAGATGTAAATTGTAATTTATGGTGTTATATTTTATGATATTGTTTGCTTAAACAATAAAACTAATCAAAATAAACGGGTACTAAAATTTCAAACAAAAATACAAGAAAAATATCCATTTGTTTTGTAGACATTCTGAAAGAAACGGCTGTTTCGTAAACTAAGCCACACAGGAGCAAAGATGTGCTAAAACGTTGAGCAAACAAACGTCAAAGAAACGAATGCAGCAAACAAGACGATTACCTATCTGCAGAATTTTCGAAATGAATTGAATGGAGTTTTACGACCTACTCTTCCACACCTAATTGGGCTAATGAAAACGGGCAACGCCATAAAGTGTGTAATGACGGAAATTTTTGACAGGATAGCTGCATTAGCCTACCCGCTTTTGACATCTGTCGAGGAATTTTTATCGTGCACAGATTGTAGAACATGTAAAACACCCCATGAAAGCTAAAGTCATAAAAATAGTTTGGTGCAATGACAGTAGAGCTAGAAGCGGTTAATCTTTCCTTACTTTGATCAAGCAAAAGTATGCTGTCATTTGACACAAATCGGCTGCAATTTGTAAAATCGTGTTTGTTAATATCAGAGAGTTGACGCCCAAGGTCAGAAACAGTCACGTAACTTCTTCTGGAGCTGTTATATAAATCATTGTTCTTGATAGTAACTGGTGTCAAAAGTGGCCTTAAATCATATCTTACACGACTTCACTTGCATCATGGAGTCTCAAATCAACCATGCCTTATACACTAGTGACATATTTCAGCTATAAATCTCCAGTTTCACTGACACTGGTACACTTTTACACTATTAGGAGTCATAATTACAACTTTTTAATGTATATTACGTATATTTACCATTAATAACCATGTATGTTTATGTTTCATCCCTCCAGGTGTTTCCGTTATTGACTGAGATTGACGTAAACACAAAGCAAAGCCCCAACTTTCTAAACTAAATCGCCACCTTATTTACCCATGCTACTGTGTCACGTATGTTTCTGTAGTCTTAATCCTTTCTTGATAAAAAAACCCTGAGGCCCTTGTAGCAATTAATTAATATACCAGCAATTAGGTTTATAGAATATTATATATTTCGAGGCCTAAAAAGCTCTTGGTTGAACCTTTCTGTTTTTGATGACCAACCACAGAACTTCATTTTTTCTTAAATTTACAGCCAGATGCTGACTTGACAAGGTAATACTCGTCTGCTTTTCGTGGTACTCTATCTTCCATTGTCAAAAAAAGGTAGTCCATACACCCTCAAAATCTAACTTGAATGCTACAAAAAACTGTTGTTTTCTTTGGTCAAATATTACTTCATCCACAGAGAAATTATCAGAACGGAAGTGAAGCCAATTCAATTTGAAAAATATGAAAAAAGCAGTACAACTTCAGAAGAATTTTTGACCCCAAATGTTTACTGGGTGTCAGAATTGTACTTAAGATAATTGAAGGTCGTTTCGGGAGAGCGGTATTACTTTTAGTATTGAGCCATTTCAGGAAAACTCAATTGATAAAAGTTTTCCAGTCATCTGATTGGTTGAACACAAAGATCAATCATTTTTATCAAATACTTAATTTCTTATAAATCTTCCTTTTATCTTTTTAAATCATATGAAATAGGATCCGCGTGACGACCTACATTCACTTGATAAATAGTCTCTTTTATATATTTTTTGTATTTAAATTTCAAATTAGCGATTCATTAAATTTTCTGACGTAGATCAATCATAATGACAAATCTTTTCACAGCCGACAGATTACCCGTGTTCACTGTCACAGTGATTACAAGATCGATTTTAATTCTGTTTCACGGTGACTGACATGTGCACCCGCTGTCAATGTCAAGGGGGTTCCTGACGGGGATAACCCAAAGCCTGAACCCCCAAAGAAAAAAGGGATTGCATCCCTGAAGAAATTTTGACAACCGATCCATTACTGCAACTAAACACCATAAACCTTTGCCCCTCCCGTTATATCACTTGCCCCTCCGAACAATCAAGTCTGGCTACGGGCCTGGCTGGTATGGACTTATGGGTCCATATTTTCTGTATTGGATTAGGCCAATGATAACGATCAAAATCTAAGATTGCAAACGATATACCACGAAAGCTCTGAAACATGCAACATAACGAGATCAAGTTGTATCCTATGTTTCAGTAATAGATCTTAAACCAAGCACCGTCCAATGAAGTGAAGTTTCCATCCAGCAACGGACCTTATAAGACAGACACACTATGCAGTGTGCAATGAGACATTGTTCATATTCCGACAACTCTTGCATCATATTCTGCTGGTAAAAGACCATGATAGATAGATTTAGTCAAGTAGTCGAAATGTCACTTTTCAATTGTTGAGGAATTTTTAGTGTACTCAGCCTGTAGCACAAATTCCTGACAAATGTAAAACGCTTAAGATATCTAAACCGGAAGTCGAATTCCCAGATTTGCTAAGAACAGTAAAGGAAATGGGTATTTTTTCATGTCCTTTTGGCGTGGCTTTTCTGAATAGTTTTTGAATAATGATGCTAAAAAAATGATAAATGAATTCTGGGCCGTAATTGAGCAATCTTTTTTGTGTAATACATGCTACATATGAACAGACATTCATTTCAACCCAAATCTTAATATCGTTAGTCTTTTTCTGTTAATGCAGAAATATGATTTATTACATAAATTCCACGATTTTGTACAAAACCTAGCCCATTGTTATTATTACATTTTTATTGTTTTTAAAGACATAGAGATAAATGAAAAATGTTAGCTACAAAAAATAAAACATGATAAAATGTTAAATTACAAAAAACGTTTCCTGAATATTCATCCCATTTTCTGTCCTTACTAGTGCATTTTGCTATCATTTGTCGACGAACGTCCATTTTGTGGACAGTTTTTTTAAATTGAAGTTATTTTGTTGTTCTTTTGTTCTGGGAATACGCTTCCGTCGGCAATTTGTAAGTTATATTTTTAAATATGCACAGAGATTTTCACTTTTTAGATTTTCGAATTAGTATTTGCATAAATGCCTGTTAAATTCAACTCGTAGTTTGAAGTGAAATGGTGGCTTAAAGCAAGGAGACGTTTTATCGCCTTATTTCTTGCTTGGTGTTATCAATGACATTTGCACTGCGTTCAGTGACAGGACGCTTCGAATACGTTTCGTTGTTTTGTACTGAACGAACCGTTTCATAACACCAGCAACCTAAAGGCATGACAAACGTTTTCCGAAAACTGTTTCATTAAAGAGGACATCTGAATGCAGGGATGACTTCTCAACTACTGATTAGATTTTGCTATATGTTCTCTATCACACAACGAGCTTTGCTAATTCGGTAGCAGAGTGGCACCAAGTGTCTGGACAGTTAAAAAATGAGGAATTTCGGGAAATAATTATCTATTGCGGATAAGGTTTTTGGAGATGATGAGTTTAAGGCTTTTGCGTTTGCGACATTTTCACCTTAACGATAATAATTAAAATTGTGGTTTAAAACAAAGAAACTGTCATCAACCCACAATCTTTTAATTTATTGTATAAGTATGAGCGAAATTTGTTTTAACGTCGCATTTATTATGTTAATGTTTTCTCATTTTAAATTTTTTATGATCCATTACCTTACTCATAAATGGTCATGTAAGGAAAGGACAGGAACTCAAATTGTAATCCTTTTCCAATTTATTTGACAATAAGTCACCTACTTGTGTTTTAAATGTCAAGAAAAAGCGTTCAAACTTCAGTCAATTTGGTGATTTGAGGTGAACTTTATCTTCGTTTTCTTTTAACTTTATTTCAGGGTTGCGTACAAGATCTGGAAGATATCTAACATCGACACGAATTAATTATTGTTCTTGTCTACACCGTGTTCACTTTGACAAATACTTAAATTCATGACCCAAAATAGTCCAGAAAAGATGAAGCACATTTAACATAAACGTCTCCGCCTTTTTCTAAAATGGATGCTATACGCGGAGTCCTGGTGTGTTTTCTCTTATTAGGTAAGCATTTTTAATGATTTTTTTCTATCGAGATTTAGACAATGTTCACAATAATTTATACAGAAGTAGTTTCGCGTTATTGTTTTTATTTTATTATAATTTCATTCGTTTGATGAATTTGACGTAATGTATTTTAACTGTATTACCAATTTTCTTTCATCTCTTGTTGCAATTTGTGATTTGATTATTTATAAAAAAAAATATTGTGAATATGTAGTGGTTAATATAGATTCACTACTATGCGCGATGTATCGCAATATTTGAAAAAAAAATGAAAATTTCAATTGTTCACACCAAATTTTCACTCTAATGCAAATGATTTTTGATATTCTTTTTAAACATTTCACAGCCTTATCGACATAAAAATCTTTATTCGGTTAATAAAATCATTGACTAAACGGAGTAAGATAGGGAAATGTACTATCACCTATTCTATTAATAAATTGTTTTAATAAATTTATTTGGAAAGTCTAAATTATGTGCAATACTGATATTAATTAAACTTTTTTCACATTTTCCAGATTACATTTTTCTTATTTGGAATAGAAAAGTAGGACGTAAAACTCCATTCATTTCATTTCATTTCTTTCTAACAAATGACTAAATCAATGCCGTAGGACATGAAAATTTTATTGGCTCTTGTCTTTCCTTATCCTAAAGTGGTACTTTGCAATGGAGTAAGACAAGGAATTATTTTGAGACCCTAAATGTAATCTTAAAAAAAAGGAAAAAAAAAGAAAATGCGCTGCAATATTTTTCCAAATTCATATTTTGACTTTATAAATTTGCACCTAGGGTGTCATTGTCCAAATTCATTTGATGAAATTTTTTTTTTGCCTTTTCTTCGATGTCAGACACACATATAAAATTATACACATATAAATCTATATAGCTATAGAACTGATAACCAGTGTTAAAGACTAGAAAATCCTATCGAAACGTCGCTCAAATAAAATCAGTATATTCCGGAGGAATTGTGTTATGATCTATACCCATACAGTTTAATAACATAAACTTGCAAAATATTTCAAAATTGGCAATGTTATTTCTCATAATTTTGTTCTATTGGTTTTTATAGGGCCGTCGTATAGTCAAGCACAACATGTGCCCAGAGATAATAGTAACATCGTTTTCGCCCCACCCTCAGGTTAGTTAACGATATTTGATATGCCCAATAATATCTTATATGCCCAATAATATTTGATATACCCAATAATATTTGATATACTCAACGATATTTGATATTCCCAGTAATATCTTATATGCCCAATAATATTTGATATGCCCAGTAATATTTGATATGCCCAATAATATTTTGTATACCCAATAATATTTGATATGCCCAGTAATATTTGATATGCCCAGTAATATTTGATATGCCCAACGATATTTGATATGCCCAAGAATATTTGACATGCCCAGTAATATTTGATATGCCCAATAATATTTTATATACTCAATAATATTTGATATAGCCATTAATATTTTATATACCCAATAATATTTGATATATCCAATAATATTTGATATGTCCAATAACATTTTACATGCCTAGTAATATTTAATATACCCCATCATATTTGATATACCTAATAGTATTTGATATGCCCAATAATATTAATTTTGATCCGCACAATAATATTTCATATACCCAATAATATTATTTGCTGTACCCAATGATATTTGATATCCCAACAATATTTTATATACCAACAGAATTTGGTATACCCAGTAATATTTAATATGCCCAATAATATTTGATATATCCAATAATATTTGATATACCCAATAATATTTAATATACCCAATAATATTTGATATACCCAATAATATTATTTGCTGTACCCAATAGTAGTTGTTACCCCAACAATATTTAATATACCCAATAATATTTGAAATAACCAATAATATTTGGCACACCCAACAGTATTTGATAAACCTAATAATAGTCGCTGTACCCATTAATGTTTGATATCCCAACAATTTCTTTTTATTTTAACAATATTTGATATACCCAATAATATCTAATATACACAATTCTAGTTGATATACCGAGCAGTATTTGATAATCCCAATAATATTTGATACACCTTGTAACCTAATTAATATTTGATATACCCAATAATATTAATTTGATATACCCAATAACGGTTGATATACTCAACAATATTTGATATACCCAAACATATCTTAATATTCTAAAATTAATTCCGAAAAACTTTTAATACCTATTTGTTTATTTTCTAAGTTTAGTTTATTCATATTCTATTCCAAGGGGACGTTTAATGGATTGCATGAACTGGACGCTGGTACAAAATCACTCTCCCCTTAACAAATATAAGAAAACTTTGTATTTATAGAAAGAAAAAGTTATCTGAACCGATATTTTCAAAATCCACAATAATAATCGTACTCCCATTTTTTAGTTTTATTCTTCTTAATCAGCTTTATTTTTCTTTCAGCTAATCCACCACCAGTAAGAGCCCAACAGAGACCAGTAGAAACCAATACTATTTATAGAAGACCAGGTAAGTCTTGAATGAGTATGGTATCAAACACAGGGGTGGGCATTGGATGGTGGCCCTAGGAAAGTCTATGTTCCGAGGTCCCAGCGCTTCTCAGAGGATTATAAAAAAATGTGCTGGAGCGAGTAGACATCAACATTGGATATTCAACAATATGGAAAAGTCAATTAGTAGGACGTACCATTCACTTGACAGCATCTGACTGACTGAATAATGGTTCGATGCCGATGAACTGGCTGCTGCTTTGATATCAGCCAATTTTCTTCTCATGATGCAAAACTCAAAGGACAAGGATGAAAAGAGCGTGATTGAACTCGAAAGGGTCAAGGGGGCATATTTCTTCTTCATCAGCATACATGAATCAGTAACCTTTTTCTATTTATAGCACAACCAGCACCACCACCCCAACAGCAACGAGTTGTCCAAAGAAGACCGGAAGTGAACACTGTTTACCAAAGAGGGGGTGAGAGGTTAAATATATTCTTGTCAGTTCATGGATGGCGAGTGAAGTAACCCACAGAGAAAACATGAAACAAAAATCCAGATTTGCTTTGTTGTCATATTGGATTAGTAATTTCATACTCAACTAATGAAGACGGTTTGACCAAATCACAGAACGTCCAACAATGGGATCGATCTCGTGAATCTTGTTTATGGATAATCCAGGAAAGATCGATGCCAAGAGGTTTGGCCAAGGATCAGTTAGCTGTGAACATAAGTTGTTATCCTTGTAAAATATAGTTGTTTGTTTCTTTCTTTCTGTCTTATTTCTGTCTTGAGTCAAATGCAAACTTTATCTTGAATTAATCCTTCAAAAGCATGAAATAACTCAATGTTCTCCATCTTTTCAGGATTACGACCAACAAAAGACACAGATGGCGCCATTTACCAGAAGACAGTTGGTGGTGTTGCGTTTAAAATAGTTTCTATGTGTCAAGAGTTTGACACGGTATTTAAACCTGGTTTGATGGAATTTGATACACTACAGGGTGGCTGTAGATTGTAAGTATACCTTCCATTATAATTAACGTTGGCAAGTGTGGGTTGGGGAGGGTAGACGTCTGATTTAAAATTGGATTAGTGCAAATTGATGCTATCAGTGTGCCCGATACACGTAATTTTTTTAAGAAGACTTCTTTACAATCCCTTTAAACACTGTTATTTACAACGTTACTAAATATTTTATGGGTGTTTAGATTTAGTTGTATAATTGCACAATCTGTCAGTGTCCTCTATCTGACAAGTACATAAAGACGTGACATTGCTTCATGCATATATGATATATAGTAGGACAGATACAATTGTGGTACAATTTATAGCCCGTGTATGTTTTACATAACTCTAGATGTAACACGAAACAGATGTAGCGTATTCTCTTCTGATTTGGCTTTTCAAAACATGTATAAATCCCATGGCTGCTTAAATATAGAATGCTGGGTGTGGAAATGAAGACGCATTGTTTTACTGCCAGTTTCCAGAACTGCCAACAATAGCCTGACTAAGTCAGAATCCATCAATTCCAAATATGTTTCTCTCTTTAATTCAACCCTTTTTCCCTGTAAGCCATGCACGTCGAGGAAGCTTGAACTGACCTGGAAAAATTGTCAAGTCGTTCGGGACCATAAACCGAGGCCCCGTATGCTACAGGCTGTGCAAGTTAAAGATCCCTCGACAGTTTGAAATCGAAAAATAGTAAGTTGATGTCTCTGTCCCAGCAAAATTTCCCCCATCGCACACTGAATAGTCCTATAAGATATATATAACAATTCTCTGTATTCCAGTGTTATCACTTTCGACAAGAAGCTGCCAACCACCCAGACGGTGTATACCCCGGGTCCAGTGTACAGCGCTTCCTCAGCAGTTAATCCCTACTACCAGAGTCAGGCTGTGGAGAGACGGCGAGAGTATTACAACCAGCCACCCGAGCCAGCGGTACAGCAGAGAGCTCCACCCCGTACAGTCGTAGTCCGAGAACCAGCGTATCCACCTCGCCAATCATATCCACCACCAAGACAAGAACCCACGCGCGTAGTTCGGTATCAATCTGCACCCGCCCCTCCCCCTGCCCAAGACGCACAGTATCCCCCTCGGGCAGCACCAGCTGCTCAACCAGCAGCAAGACCTGCGTACCAACCACCGCCGCCAACAGTAGTCCGCGTCCAACCCGCAAGACGCTATGAACCAGCTCGGGCACCAAGCGGTCCACCTCCAAAACGTGGATTGGATAGATACCAACTCGAAGCTTTGGGTGTGGGGACGCTACACGACCCCCCTATCCCAGCCGTTACAGTACCTCCCCAATCTGAACCCCCAATCCCTAGGGTGTAAATACAGTTAATGGTCTTGTGGTCTATAATTATGTATATAGCGAAATCGAGTGGAGAACAATGGCTTTGGTCTTAGGATGTAAATATTCGTTTCGTCTCAGTATAAGTTTTTCAGACACGTAGTTGGAGTATACAGTGAGCTCGCTTTAACATACAGCTCTAAATTTTCGTTTCGTTTTTACTGTGGGTTACTTCACTCGTTCTATTTGGTAACCATGTATCTTTAAGGAAACAAACCTTCCGTGTCTGATCATCTCATATGAGTATGTTAAGCCATAGAACATATTCGAAACGAGTAGTTCTTGTCAATTTAGTCCGATACATCTGTCTCAATCCAGTCTCAGATGGATACTTTAACAGTTATCGACTGGAGTAGACAACAAAGATCTATCAGACGATGGAATAGAGGCAGGTGTTACGGTCTATATTCATAGAAGATCTTAGAATTTGGTTGGATACACGGGGTCTCCGTATTTTTGTTGTTGTTGAATAACGGAATCTTATATAAATTATATAAATTAAATATCTAACTAACTATGTTTTTATCATGTCGTCGACTTCAAAAGAGTGCAGGACGGCGATTTGTTTATTCTTTTCTTCTGCTGTATACCCAATTACCGTATACCGCATTTCGTCGGCGTGGTGCGTGGACTGTGTAGAACGCCATCATGTCGTTAGTGAAGGTCGATTTAATGTCTATGTTAAACAATGTCGACATAAACCTTGGCCAATATTTCTCATCGTAGCACGCATTTTAACACGAGTATACTTGAATTAGAGCTTCTCGTCCCTGCTAGTGAAATATGCCACAAGTGCCCTGGTAAAGGTATGTAACCCACACTAACCACCTATTGGGCAGAAGTCAAAGTTCAGAACTCAATACAAGAGTCGCAGGTCGATTGAAAGGTTTATATCTATTATAACTATAGTGTGTAATAATAATTTTATTTAACGGAATAAACTTTGTAAATACATGTACTCCATCGTGTGTTTAGCTGATATAAATATACACATAGAGTTATCGCCCTTTACTCAGCAGCTTCGAATACCACGCTGTACCTTTTTATGTCCAAAACTATTTACTTTTCCAAAATAAGATGGAGTATTTCTGTTTTCAATTTGACCCGGATGTGCATAACATGTTTCCTCGATTACAGAATAAATTTGCATAAGTAAAATCCTGTGGAGCAAGATCAGTCAGTTACGATGAGGACTGTCTCAAATTTAAAATAATGCATCAATCAATCATTGTTGTAAGAAGTTATTTATATTTGACACCCAATAACGTGCATTTTGATAGCAAAGTGTCATTGATGACGATGGCCATCATCAGACGCAATATCGTGTCCTGTACCTTGACTGCAATAGCCACCTTTTTGTACCACGGAATGCAGCGAGTTCATTGGATTGTATGCTAGCAAAAACATCCATTGTCGAGTCCCGACAGAAAGTCTGTAAACCATGAGCCGTAATGATTACAGTTTTCTGTTTACGGATTGATGGACTACGCCTTACTGTGCTTCTGTTTTCAACCAGTGACGGAGCCATGTTTACATTCGAGGCAGGAGGGGGGGGGGGGGGGATTGGGGTTGCCCGAATTTCTAACCACTGTTTTCAACTCATCGTATGACCAAGCTTTATCAGACACCTCTTGGTTATCATTGTCCAATAGAAAAAGCCAAAATGCTCATTGATATATAGCTTTACACTGAACAGTCCACAGTGGTAAAGGGTCCACCACAAAAACATGAAATTTTGACACATTTGACGAAGTAGCATCAATTTGTTCACAATACACCAAAATATATTTCGATGTCGAATAGGTTTCTTGGGTACCCCTTGGGTTTTGCTTGTTCCGCCATATGGAAGTAGTTCCCCAGTTTTGGTAACTGGGTCCCGTCACACTCTAAAATCACAACAATTGCCATAGGTGTTAAAGTGATACTACGTCTTAGAATTAACATAAAAGTTAAGAATTTTAAACTTGGCGAATAAGAGCCAGTAGATATACCTGGTGTCATAAATAATATAACAGAATCCTTATTTAATCCGATAAATCCAAAAAAACTTAGTAATTATCCATAAATATGCAATTAACTATTGAAAAATGCTTAATATCGGGCGTTTTTCAATAGTTACTTTTTATGAATTTTCCAATTTTCCAGATTTTACAGGGATTCTGTTGTAACTTTATGGCACCACGTAAGCTAACTGATGAATATAGACTAATATTGACCTTTTCCAGAACTTAAATTTTATGTTCATTCTAAGACGTAGTATTACTTTGATCTAACATTGAGAAATGTATGTTTTGGTCATCTTCAATCCTTCCCCTTAAACCTATGATAAACTATAAGTTCGCGTTTAAAATAAATATGTATTAAAATAATGCGAATAACCTACTTTCCTATCTCAAACTTGGAAACAAAACTGTCACTAAATGTCACTTATTATTTTGTCATATTTCAGTTTTGTCATTTCATCGCCCTGGTTATAGCTTGAGATAAATTATGGTTTGAGATCGGTGTAATTCCATAAAATGTAAAAATAAATACAAGTTTATATTTACATCCATCTAGAGCCCTAGTTTCCAAACTGGGTACAAATGCTCCTCAGGGGTACAAGTAGACACCTCACTGGGGTACAAGTAGACACCTCACTGGGGTACAAGTAGACACCTCGCTGGGGTACCAGTAGACACCTCACTGGGGTACAAGTAGACACCTCACTGGGGTACCAGTAGACACCCCACTATATGGTTCGTGATCTATAAAATACAAAAATAAATACAAGTCTATTTTACATCCATCTGGAGCCCGTGTTTCCCTACCAGTAAACACCTCACGCGGTATCAATAAAGTCCTCATGGAGATGTACAAGTAAAACACCTCACGGAGGTACCCGTAGAAACCTCATGTATGTACCAGTAGAAACCTCACGGAGGTAGCAGTAGAAACCTCACAGAGGTACCAGTGAACAACTCAGGCGGTACCAGAGAACAACTCAGGCGGTACCAGCAAAAAACCTCAGGTGGTACTAGTAACGACCTTACGGAGGTACCCGTAGAAGCCTCACGGGGGTACCAGTATAAACCTCACAGAGGTACCAGTGAAGATTTCAGGTGGTACCAGTAAACACTTCAGGCGGTAACAGTGAACACCTCAGGTGGTACCAATAAACACTTCAGGCGGTACCAGTGAACACTTCAGGTGGTACCAGTAAACACTTCAGGCGGTAACAGTGAACACTTCAGGTGGTACCAATGAACACTCCAGGCGGTACTGTTACTACTGACATTTATTCCACTCGACAAGATCTGAAAGTTTCTCAATTACCAATCCATTAGTACCACACCTTTTGATTGATCCAATTCAATTACGACTGACAACTAGTTAGTCTGTTATATCGGATTCTGCCAGAAGTGAACGTTAACTTGTCATCTACCAACAACTACCTAGTCTGTGATATCAGTTAGCTGGAAGTGGACGTCATCTTGTCATCTACCAACAACTACCTAGTCTGTGCTATCAGTTAGCTGGAGGCGGACGTCAACTTGTCATCTACCAACAACTACCTAGTCTGTGATATCAGTTAGCTGGAAGTGGACGTCAACTTGTCATCTACCAACAACTACCTAGTCTGTTATATCGGATTCTGCCAGAAGTGGACGTTAACTTGTCATCTACCAACAACTACCTAGTCTGTGATATCAGTTAGCTGGAAGTGGACGTCAACTTGTCATCTACCAACAACTACCTAGTATGTGCTATCAGTTAGCTGGAAGAGGACGTTAACTTGTCATCTACCAACAACTACCTAGTCTGTGATATCAGTTAGCTGGAAGAGGACGATAACTTGTCATCTACCAACAACTAGTCTTTGATTTCAGCTTCTGCTTCAGTTATCGGCTTCCACTGAAAGAGATATTATTCCCGTTCTTGCAATAAAGATATACACCAGTGTAAAGAATATAGCAAAAATTACAGAATTCGGTTAACATTATGCATATTTTTTTAAAAAGTCTTAATTTCCAAAACGTTTTTTTTCCTATCAAAATCAATATGTTTTTTTTTTCATATTTTTTGATGAATGAAAAATTCAAATTTTGGTCTTTACCACCACAAAAAGATACAGAATAGCGTACCTTCAAAGGGACACGCTCTATTCCTTTTATCATTTTCTGTCATTTTTTGACGAAATTATTTGCATTGAAACTCGGAAGTAAGACTTATCACAATTCAAAAAATGTATATTTTTGTGTAAAATTCGCAATTTCGTGATATGTCTCGAAATGACAGATGACAATTTATCGCAAAAAGTCAAATAAATTTATGTTTTTTGAAGACAAGAGCATGGCAACTGTCTAAAACTAGCAACCGAATACTGAAAATTTGATTTGTGTAAAACGTGGTATATAATAATAAAGTTGGTATCGATTCGGTACCAGAGTAGTAAGTGTCCATCTTCAGAATGGATTTTAAAAAGGACATGGTGGTATGGATTACTCTGTTTAGTTTTTTTGGTAAGTTGATGGATAATTATTAAGGTGTTTCTGAAAGATGGGAACCGCCAAACTCACCTTGGTACAATACTTCCATAGCAATTAAACAAATGGAGATAACAAAGTGCAAGCTTTTCGACTCGGCTTGCCACAATCTGCCACAGTTATTATAGAAATGGAGACTTAAGATGAAGGATAATTATTAAGGAGCATCGACCGACTTTGGTACTATAATTACTGTAATGGAGTTTACAAAAATACTGGTGGTGTTGGATACTCAGATTATAACCCTAAAAGTGGAAGTGGAAGTAATAGAAGAAATTAGGAACTGATTATAAGAACAGTTAATAGAATCATCAACAATAACTACGTTCTGGTGGACATCAAGAACGATTATGCGGTCGGATTACATTATAAAAACGTAATAATGTATTATGGAAAATTTTTATTCAAATGATACTGCTTGGGATTCCTGTGATTAATTGGAAATTCTCCTTGTGTTGTTTGTGAATTTTTTTTCGGACTTATGCCACCGGGGAATGAAAAAAATGGATTTCGTGTGGCGCCTAATTTTTTCCTGGAAATTCATAAAACTCGTATTTACAAAAAACCGAAAAATCAATTCGATATTGTTATGGAAATGGTATTATCAGCACATCGAAACGAAATGGATGTTGTACATTTGACTTATAGAGCATAAATATGTGGAAAATATATAAATACCTTAGAAATCCGAGGCTGGCAAAAAATATCACAAATTATAGGTGTTCATTTAGAGAAGCAACTGTTTGTCATCTTTGATCATGTATCCGCTAGCTTTGGTACATTCGCACCCTGCTTGTCAATCATTTCATAACCTTTTGGCAGTGGGGTTTCCTCCCCCCCCCCCCCC